AAATTTGAACAGTGAGATATACCGGGGTTTTTTGGAGAACGATCTACCTCTACTACTTCAGGACATTCCTCTTCAAATAAGGACGATGAAGAGGTGTCACCAATTTGCTCAATGAAAATGGCGATGTTTCGCATTGTATTAGCTATGTCCTGTCCAAATTTTATTCTCTCTTGGTTTCGTATATTTTCAGCCATGAAAATTGAATAATTTCAAATATTTCGAATTTTCACCACCAATAACGGCAGTAACAGTATTTTTAACATTAAGGCGATGTTTCACATTGTATTAGCTATGCCCTGTCCAAATTTTGTTCGTGCAACTCTCTTGGTTTCGACAATGCCTATATATGTTTTCAGCCACGAAAATTGAATAATTTCAAATATTTCGAATTTTCCCCACCAAGAACGGCGGTGACAGCATTTTTAACATTAAGGAGATGTTTTGCATTGTATTAGCCATGGCCTGTCCAAATTTTGTTCTTGTAACTCACTTGGTTTCGACAATGCCAGCGAGAATTGAACAATATGGAGAACTACAACTGGAAACGAGAGCTTCCACAGTCGATTGAGTTATGCATTGCACAAGGCGTTAGTAACATTGTGTAGCTTTAATAATTTCACTGTCAATACGCTTTTATTAAAATAAACCACATTTTTTTTCTAAGCTCTCTAGTCCCAACAATTTACTCGAGCAGCTACCCATACGACCAAGCAACTTCAACCCAAGATATTTCAAGAACCATTGGGAATTCGGGAAAAATGGATAGAATCAGTTTTGCTTAAAATTGGTCATGGAATCCATGCGACCGCCCTGTACAGTTTCCTTCAACTGATTTAAAAGATTATATTGGAAAAAATAGTTCTATATTCTGTTTTGTGTGATATGAAATTGCAACTAAAATACTCGATTTCTAGTCTTAATCGGGTTTTGTAAATGTAATTAGAAAAGTATTATTTAAAACATCCAAAGTATATATACAACTATTAATTCTTTTATTTACTATTGCTCATAGAGACTGCAACAAACTAGTGTGCTATGCACCCCACAATGCACCTGTGTAATTAATGTTATCTAACCGCTGGTCATTGAAAATGGATCACAGTGTACGTTGGGAATATCACGCATTTAGAAGATGAATTAGAAAATCCTAACAACTATGAATTGATTAATTCGCCAGGATTTATAAGACTGTGGGCTTTCGATTTTAATTAAGTTCAATTTGTATATCGAACAAATTCGAAATACCCAGGAATACAGGAAAGGTAACGAAGCAAATAAATTACTGATAAGGCTCAAGGAGTGGCTGTAATCTTGGTTGTATATAAAGAGAAACGGAGAATATTCTCCGGACAGCTTTATCGGGGAGCCGTAATTTATCGGGAAAATCCAAATATATTATTAACGAGTGCTCTTAGAGGCAACTTGGCTGTTTATGGACTTACGGGGAGCTTTGTTGATGACAGACGAACGGCGTTCTGCAGAAATGAAGAGTTATAAGCCGAGGGGAGAGGTAATTTTCAGTTATCTGTAAGCCGCTAGGGGTGTTAAAATGAGCAGGAGGAAATCAGAAACTAATACAGGATCTTCGAAGGGAGAAGTAGATGGGGAATGTTGGAAACGCGTTTTTCAGACATGCCAATTTGTTTAAAGATCCAACAGTAATTTTATTTATTTGTGACGTACACTGTCCTATAGGACATTCAATTATAGAGCACATGTAAATTAATATACAATTTTCGTGTGAAGAGTTGTGGCAAAGAATACAAATCGCTGCCAACGAAGTCAAACGCAATCCCAATATGTTGTTTCAAACTCGAAGATCTCTCAGGAAACGTTGTGTAAAGTGTGTAAATGTCAACGGTGGATTCTTCGAACACTGACTTTAAATCATTATTACGAATTTCATTTGTTTTATTGTTAATTGTTGTAATAAAATATAGTTTCACAAATTTTCAAGTTCCTAATCTACTTATTTTCAGAATAATCGCAAAAAAAAACGATTTAAAATTTTAACTTTCAACACCCTGTATTTCCGAAACTATCAACTTTCGGATAAGGCATGTTTGCGCCAATGGTCACCATTTCACATGTAGTATCTTCAGCTTTCGACTTTTCCATTGTTAATGAATCACCCTGTACAGTAATAGATACAATATCACCATGCAATGAAAAAATTAACATCGAGTAAAGGTTGAACAATTTAGGATAATGTTATTATTGTTAATGACAGAGAGATAGTTGTCTCGAAATATAAAATTACAGACCATATCAAAGGACTACAGTAGCGTAATGTTTTTGAAATGATCATTTTTAAAAACCAAAGAAATATTTGCAAAGTGCAACATTATAGATAAAATATTGCACATAATACTTGTGGTAACTGGATTTTTGAAGTATATTCTAATTTGAACCGGACTGATGACTCGAACGGTAATAGTAAAGTATTGACATTATTGACAGCTAATACACGATTTGCAAAAGAGCCTTTAGGACCGAAAATTACATCAAAACCTTTAAGTCTGTCACACTTTTGTATATCCTCGTTGTTAAGAAGATAACTGATATTACAAGAATATTCTGTTTACTAATAGCGATTTCCGTTGAGAAAACTGATGCACACTGAGTGCACCATTGACGTTCCATTGGTCAAGTCGGTGCAAAATTTCAAATTCCATTGGAAAACTAGAGCAACAGTTCTTGCTCTGAGTGCATATTATTTCGCACGAGGTCTTGGAGCTGGTGCCGGTGTCAGTGCAAGAAAAAATTGCGGTAAATATAGACAAAGTTGTTGCTTCATTATTATCGTTTTTATCAAGTAGTAGTAGTGATGATGATGAAATGTATATTATACCAGTTATACGCAAACAACTGCCAAAAGTGAAAGGATTAATTGAAAATGTCTTCTACAAACTTGATGACCAAGTAGGTCTCCTTAATGTCGTGTGTAGTAGTTAATTTGTGAGGTAGGTAATCATTTTTTAAATAACCAATGCATTTGATTATTAAAATTTTAGTTTAAAAAATATATAAGGCTAGAACGGAATACCACAAATATATTAATTGAACGTTTCCAACAGTCCCAATACTACCCCAAAAATGTGCAACATGGTGGTCGAACACAAATTTCCGTTTCGTCTACAGGAATACACAATGTAACTTCCTCGTCGTTTATTTCAAATTTCAAAATTAATTCTTGGTTCATTGTAACTACCTTCTTTGAAAAACTTCAACTGGTCAACTGTTACTTTGATTGAATAAAAATCGAAACATAAACATAACCTATAATGTCAGAAACCCAGGCAAAAATTGTCATTCCGTTGAGATTGCACCAGAGCATATTTCTCATACAACCAGTGGAGTGTCAGTGCTGCCCGAGTGCAGCCCCAGTTTTCCCCAATGAAAATCGCTATAAAACTCTTGTATCATTTGCTTAGATTAAGTGGAAATTAAATTACACACCAGGACATTAAAGATTTTTGAAGTTTAATTAAGTCATTATTACCGCAAACCGAAGTAATTCATTTTAAATCATTATTCCTACACAACATAATTTATACGTAATATTATTAATGTAAACATTAAAAAAGCAATGGTCTTAATATAGATCATTGAGGCACCTCAAAAGAAGCAACAATTTTGATGGATGTATGTAAAGCTCCAGAATCATTCTGGATGCAGATGCTGATGAAGTTTCTTTAATTCTGTCCTTTAGAAGCAAGAACTCCTATCACATATTGCGTAATAAATTAATTATTGCATTTAAACGTACTGAACTAAAACCGTGTTGATGGAAACGTACCTGTTATCTAACTTGAAATGAAATTGAATAGAGGATTGCAAAAATTTACCAATGTTATTTGATATTACAACTGATTTATAATTACAAATATTATGTATATCATTTGGATCGGGCAAATTTTTAATACAAAAACTGAAAATTTTATATAAGGTAAAGTTTTAAGAAGAAATTATGAAGAATATAAGTTACTAGGTACCATATTAACGATGAAATTTAAGTATTACAGGTTGCTCTATACTTAATTGATCATGTGAATACTCGTAATACAATTATTTACCTCATATCATTGTTACTATCGTTCACATCTAAATATAATTGCCTATTCTAATTTATTTCATTAATTTAAATATAAAGGGGATATCAATCTTATCTCGAATTATTCCAGTTATAAATAGCAATGTTGTAACCTACGAGTATATCTCTTATTTAATTATATCGATATAAAATTATAAATATGACTTCAATAAAAATTTATTTGTTTATAGCCTAATACAGACTATTAAAATTAAAGAACAAAATTACAATACCTAATCTCATTTTCCTATAAATATTAGCTGACTTCATACATTTTAGATGTTTCAATATACATAATTAATGTACTTAAGTAGTCTTTATTGCTAGTTGTTTTAAGAAATACTCGTAAGGTAAAACAAAAATAACGTGCTTTATCGTTATTTCTATTTATGTTTTAATAAAGGGTACTATGACGTTATGTCTGTAATACGATAAAAAGGTTGTGTAAAAGTTCAGGAAAATAATAAATGTTACATTGAAGTTTATGCTATAAAATTTTATTAGAACCAAACTGTATAGACAAAGCTAAATATTTACGTTCAAAATTAAACAGTCGAACCTTAGCAGAACTTTTCATTTCTTCTAGAAAATATTTTATTTTTAATAAATATGAATAATACTTTAAAAGAATCACATTAAAAAAATATACAAAGAAAAAGTTACCACTGTCTTAAGCTGCCTGTGCTACTGTTATATAGGGTAGGAAAGTACCGATGGTCTATCAGAAGTTACGTGAGAGCGATAAAGTAAGCCATAGAAATCCATGCGATAGAGAAGGATGGCTATAATGAAGACTTCTCTTAGTCACCGCCCGTTTCGCCCTTCCACAAATAAGATCCACTTCTTATTTGTGGAAGGGCGAAATGGGCGTTGACTATTAGACGCCTTCATTATAGCCATCCTTGTCTATCACATGGATTTCTATGGCTTACTTTATCGCTCTCACGTAACTTCTGATAGACCATCTAGACTTTCCTACACTGTATGTTTTTGCACTTCAGTGACAGCTTAAACACTAATAAATTACGATTCTAATTGTTTAAACCGCTTCAATTTAACACGTAATAGTAAGTACAGCATTTTTAGACTTTAACTTCAGTCTTTTAAGTTCTTGAAAGCTCATTCGTACGCTGTACGTATTTTCGATATGCCTCAGCAGCAGAGGTTTCTTCAGTTTGCCTTCTTTAAATTTCAATTCGCAGAAAAACCTCCTCTCTTTGGGCCCGCAGAAAACGGCTTCCCATAGAACATTATCGGGGAAATATTTTACGTAACAGTAAAATATTCCTTTCTCCTCGTTCACCAAAAACGCTTCTGAGGTGTTCTGGAAGAACATTATAAAAGCTTCGAGGATTTTCGTGCTGCCATGTATCAATTTGAGATGTTTGCTCAAGCCCTTGAATTGTCCCACGAAGCTGCATTCATCCATGGGACATTTATAATCGCAGAAAGCGCAGCTAGCTTCGTGTTCATTAAGGTCGCTGTAGATGAGCTTTTGGGGACATCCCCCTTTCTTATACTTGCACGGGTGCAAGTACTTATTGTATTTTCCTTCTAGTTCTGTGTTCCTTTCGTCAGTTATATCTTCCATGCAGACTTTGCAGATCCCGCTCTTGCATTTTAAGCAGAAACTGTGACCACAAGGACAGAGAAATATCGGAGGCACCAATATTATTCCACAGTTGGTACAGTTTAAGTCCGAGTCACTTTCTAGGATAGCCCCTAAGCTTAGGTTGCTACTCGCCCTTTTGAGGATGTTCCTCCTCTTTATTTCTTCGTAGTTTATAGTTTTCGATCGCACAAGCGACACTTCGTTGACCTCACTTTCATTACCTTGGCTTGGGAAGCTTTTTCGCTTTCCTTCGTCCAAGCTTCTCTTCCTAGGAATGGGCATGTGGAGAAAATCAAAAGTGTCGTGGTGTAGGTCGTCCTCAAGGAAGACCCCATCGTCGGAACTGTTGCTGCCGAAACCTTTGGTTATGTTAAAAGTGCAGTGGAGGTGTTCAACTTCATTGTAGACCTCTTCTAGAGATTCTAGTTTAATTTCCAAACTTCCTTGTTCGGATACCGACACGTATTCCTGACTTACGAGTTGATCTCCGGATCTTAGATTGACCGTGTAGGATATCTTAGCTGCTAACTTCTCAGGGCCCAAGTATCTTAAATATATAACTAAAACGTTATCGTATATCTTCGTTTGACCGAGGTAAACCTCGTCGTCGATGAAGAACAGCCTGTTCTCGGAAGGAGTCTTCAGGTCTATCTTGATGGTGTTGGTGAAGAAGAGTAGATCATCGTGCTCCTTCTCGAAATGGTCCAAGATGTCTGAGGAATTGCCCTCCCAAGAGCAAGCGTACTTTCTATCCACCGGGCACAGATAGATCACCATGGTTCATTTTCTGAAAACATACATACTTTTAGATTGACGTCAAGTTTAGCTAGAGACATTTTAAAGTAGATCTGTCATCGCTGATTCAAGGCTTAGTCGAGTTATCTCTGATAAAAGGGGATTAAGCGATTAAAAGTAAAATAAACAATGAAGATTATCATATTATTATACTGCCAAAAATCTTGTTCACGATAATAATTTATGACAAAATTTCAGTCAAAATAAATTGTAACGTTAAAATATTACTCCTGTCAGTGTTCTATTGTAGTGGCAAAAGATAATTATACAAAGTAGGTAATCCATTGTCTGTTCTATTACCGTTGATAAATTAATAATTACAATAACAAGCAATTTACTTGATAAATCTAGTGCAAAGAGAAACGATCGAAGCTTTCAAAAGCACTGAACTATCAAAGAACTTTTACGATTTCAGTTTGAATCGAGCTCAAGTTTGATTTCCCGTAAATGCAATTCAATGGTAGCTCTAGCTACATGTGTGTAAAATCAGTGTCCTAGCAAATTGTTATCAGGAAGATTACAACATGCTAAATCACAGGATTTATAGTCGGTACATTTTTCTATAGCTGCGAATAAATCCCCCCACTTGCAATCAGTCCGTGGATGGATATAAATTACAGGAAGGTTCGGTTTTCAATCAATATTTTATTGTATATTCGCGATGTAGAGAGTAATCGTTAAAACGTTATATATAAAAGGGGTATAAAAATTAGAGACAATTATGTAGACTTCTTTTATCACTATCAATAGTGAAACCAATTTTCAAGTCACTTTTGTAGATAACTAAATAACATGTAGTTTTAGATATTGACCAACAAGTTCAGTTAATTTTGGAGCTTAATCTTAGAAGGGGCGCTCAAAGGTTTTGGGGACACTGAAACAGAAATAATCCTGGTATCAAACAGAAAAAGTACAACTTTGCTTATAATACAACAGATTATTTCACCAATTGTGGTTTTATTATCAGTACAACTTTTAAAAGTGTCAGATTTCCATTATCTGAAGTAAATAAACTAATTGGAAACAGTATTTAGATAAATATTAATTGTGGGGCCAATTCGTTATGCGCAGGGTTATCTTTGCCAATATTTTAAACAAAAGTGATCTTTGTCAATACAGATACATCTTTAATAATGATACGGCCCCGAATTCTTTGTTACAATGTCAGAATAAACTGAAACATGTTGAAGGTAGCAGATGATGAACACATTAAAAAAAATTAAGTGGTTGATAAGGTTACTGATGGTTATGTAAAGCAATCAGAAATGTTTGTTTTAGATAAAGGAGCAAATAGACACTGCTATTTTAGCAAAATAGATAACCAATATTTACTTTATTGATTGAGTTTAGGATACCACGTTCATAATATTTTAAATGATTGGTCTCAAGTAAATTTTGGAGTCAAATCTACACAAAAGAATTTTTGGTGTTTGTTAAAACGTCTATTAGAATCAGAACATCCTGTGTAGTGCGCCTGTGGTATTTACCATGTTTTGTGTGTACAATGGCTTCCTATGAAGCAGATACCATCCGAAAACACATTTTTACTTATCAACAACTGCCCCCGTTCCGAATATTTGTGACTGATGAAATGGTACTTACATATGCGACGCACAGCCACTCACAAATATTCTGACATTCCGAACAACTGTGTTCCAGGACGGTGAGCACAAAAACTGATAAGGCATTATTATGCCGAAGCCGAGATAACTTTTTATCGCTGATAATAAATAATTAAGTACTAAATAGGCACACACGTACGCGCAAAACATTGTTTGACGAGCCATCACAGTCGATGATAAAATAATAAGCCGCAGGTAGTTGATAACAGAGCTGGAAGGCGTGACGTTTTTTTATTCGGTGTGATTTGCTCTGTTTTCGATGGGACAGGAGCAAGTGGGCGATTTTACATTAGCTTTTGCAGCCCTAGTAAATATTTTATTTGCTGCCGCTTTAAATATATTATTCGCACAGAAAAACATTCAGTCACAGGTATCGGCTAAATCCCGAGAGAATTGCTTTTGTACAGGGTGCTTTCAAAAATGTCTAAATATCACGATTATAAGTAAAAAATGTTTAACTTTTGATTTCGGGCAATATTTGCGAACGTTGTGACGTCAAAATTTAGCAAAATACTTAAGAATAGATGAGTGTTCAAGGATATGCTAAAAAAATGTAAATGTGAAACAAAAATATTTGCTCAACTCAAACAGCTCCTAGTCGGCATTCTATTTTAGTCCAGGAAATATAGAGTTGGACGCGACTTTTTGTTTCGGCAAGCTGAATTTATGACTATAGACGCTAAATATTATGTACAATAACATATTAGTTTCCATAGTCATAAAAATGGGCGGAAGATTGTTTACAGGGTGGTTAATTGTATAATTTTTAGGTAACCTTTTCTCGCTTATAACTTTTTTCCGTTCAGTTCCACGAGAAAATAGTAAAGTACTTTTTTTCGTCTTCAAAAGATCTACAAAACTAGCCCTCGAGCGTTAAAAAATATTGATTAGATCAAAAGTTATAAACAGAAGAAGTTTATATATGACTTTTGAATTAAACATTTATAAACTGCGTTATTATTACCAGAACGTTTTGGCATCGCAACCTCTCATTCCTTATCACTGTCTAATAACTCACACGAAATCTGGAATCGGTAAGTTGAATAGTTTACAAGTTATAGCCTTATAAACAAATTAACTAATTATTAGTCTGGACGATCCCGAGGATCTTCCACAATCGCAGTAATTTTTTTCAAGGTAGATTTCATAATAATACGTTGAAATATATCTTTTTTTTTTTTTAAATTTCAAATTTGCAACCTGGAATTTTTTTTAATTTTTTAGCCTTAGTTGCAAAATGAAATATACGACGCACGAGCGTGATATAGTTATATATTATTACATATTAGGAAAGCTTATGAAAAGAGCTTTAAGTTAAAAAAAATCGTCAAGATTCGTTGAAAAACAACGGAGTTACAGACTGTCAGATATATTATTTTCAAGGGAATTTCCCTTATTTAACGGCAGGACTATGAATATTATCGTTATTTTCTTCGGACTCGCTCTCGTTCGCTTCCCCCACCCTTCCGCCGCGCCACGGCTCGCCAAAAATCAAGCGACCCACTGACTTTTCACAATATTTCTTATGCACTTAACATATTTCCACTAATAATAGTTATTTTTGTATCTAGTGCGCGAAATGCTACTTTGGTGATCGAGAATTGAATTTTTTAACGAGGCGAAGCCGAGTTAAAATATTATTCGAGACCACCAAAGTAGTTCGCGCACGAGATGCAAACAATATTTTTTTTACAAACGTCAAAATCTATCTCTTAAAAATATTATAAATAAGTAAAATGCCTAATTTATTATAGAAAATAGTGTTGAGCTGGCTTAAAATGTCTTTCCTAATCAAATTTTCACTGTTACTATGGAAACAAAGTGGCTGTTGTTGACAACAATAATAATTATTTTAAAGTGCCGCCGTGAAGAACTCACTAAAATGAGTGTGGATGATATAGAAGATAAAGGTTCCATCTTGATTGTAAAAGTACCGGATACAGAAACGAACATACAACGAATTTTTACGGTTTCGAATCTAGATTATATCGATATTTACCGAAAATACGTGGCTCTTCGTCCAAGTTATGCTAGCAGTCGCCGATTGTTTCTGAAGTATCAAAATAAGAGATGCATTAACCAAGTTGTTGGAATAAATTCTATTTCTATTGGAGGGATGCCCAGCTTAATAGCAAAATACTTAAAATTACCAAATTCTGATGCTTGGTCACTGTTTTCGGAGAACCTCGGCCACACTTCTTGCTAATGGTGGGGGTGATATATGTAGTTTGAAGAGACACGGGGGTTGGAAATCTTCCACCGTGGCCGAAGGATACGTGGAAGATTCTATCAATAATAAGATTCAAATATCAAATAAAATTTTAGATTGTGAAATTTCAGGATCAAATGGTATCACCTCTACCTCAAAAATTAGTAGTGTTTCAACCCCCAAAACCCCAATATCCCGAGCTGAACCTGAATTATCTGGTTTAGGAATAAATATTGGTTCGTGTACTGGTTGTACGATTAATGTTAATATTGTAAATAATAACTAAAGTTATTGTAAAATTCTATCATTATTTTAAAAGTATTTAATTGTTATTCATTTAAAAATAAATAATAATTTGGAGTTTTGCTTCATTTTTTCAAAGATTGAAATACAAAACTTTTATTAATTTACATGCAGTGTGCGAAATACTTCGCACCCTACTGCGCGAAGTATTTCGCGCACGGTGTCATGGTAACGTAAGAATCCGAAAAAAAGTGTCACTTCGCATATTGTTGTCAATGCGCAAACCTTGTCATTTTCTGACGTTTGTAGAAAAAATATTTTTACCTGGGAAAGTACTCGCGTTGTTGGTTATGACAGTATTTTTTTTGCTGCTACCAACCTAATTTGTTTAACAATCGGCCGTCAGCTTAGACTGTCTGTAATTCCGTTGTTTTTCAACGAATCTTAACGATTTTTTTTTAACTTAAAGCTCATTTCATAAGCTTTCCGAATATATTTCCCCCATTTTTATGACTGTGGAAACTAATATGTTATTGTACATTGTATTGTATATTTATTTGTATAATTAGCATCTATAGTGATAAATTCAGCTTGCCGAAACAAAAAGTCGCGAAATGGTCATTCCTCAGCTTATTTTCCTGGCCTATTGGTTTGTATTGTTTAATCGCTATAAAAATGAAATTAATTTATTGCTCCAGAATCCTTTCAAGCTTTCACGGGATATAATCTCAGGTCACGTCTTAATATTTAATATACCTTTTTCGCGATGAATCAATTTTATACTCGCTCCTGCAAATATGCCTTTGTTATTTTCTCTTTATTAAACATGCTACAGTTCAGTATCGCAAATATTTGGCTTGCCTTGACAACCTTCCTGAATAATAATAAGTATTAAACCCATAAAATTTTACTACGCTCCGGCTAAAGGAATTTCATAAAAGTCGAGCGGGACAATCGTTTGAAAATGCCAGGTACAGAGCCTTTATAAATGATTATAAGCCACGTAAACGTAATTTTGTTTGAAATAGTAATTTTATTTCCTTCGCGTTAGCAATTAAATTCTGGGAAAATTAAAAATTACTAAAATAATAATATAATTAAAAATATGAAATCTAAAGCATTTGGATGTGATAATTTGAATATAACACTTATACTTACATGTTGCCCGTATAGCAGAGCTGGGTAATTACTTGTAATTTAAAAATAGTTACAATTACAAATTCCTTTTTTAAAAAAAGGAACTAATTACACAAGTTTACAAATTCGGGTCAACTTTTGGACCCGAGCAGATGAGAACGATTCTTAATTAGTGCCCTGAACTCAGATCTTCAATCCGTGTGTCAAGATTGGTTCTAGTTTTCGAGTTCGCGTATGGTGGCGGTACTGCGCTCTTATAACGGCTATCAACTGACCACGTTGCATTGTTTTTGTACTGTGATTGTGCTTCGGAACGTGTGAAAATGCAGAGAAAACGTTGCAGAGTCGATTCAAAGGGTTTTTGTTACGTTCGTGAATGTTATATGCTCGGAAAACTTGGAAAAATCATGACAAATGCACTCAAAGATGCGTATTTGCAGTACTTTGGTTTTGCTGTAGTAAACACTGACAAGCCATGGATACCGAAATTGTTTTGCAACGCGTACAGAACAAAGTTTTCATTTTTGTGCCAACGTTATGGAGAGAACAGAAAAATCATGTAGATGATTGCTACTTTTGCTCAATGAATGTCGTCGCTATAAATGCAAAGTAACTAGCACGGTATGAATATCTGGAATTACCACAAGATTGGAGCTCGAATGTCTCTTAAGATACATTTTCTGCATTCACATCTTGATTTTTTCCCACAAAATTTGGGCGACACGAGCGCGAGCAAGGAGAGCGGCTACATCAAGATATAGCAAAAATCGAAAGGCGATACCAAGGATTTTGGGACGAAGGCATGTTGAGCGACAACTGTTGGACCCTAAAGTGTGAAACAGATCCCAAGCAATATAAAAGACTCAGTTCAACCTCTGTTCATTTCTGATTTATACTTTTTAATTCAATAAATGGCCGTTAATGGTCAAAAATAGTAAAATAATGAATTTATTGAATATTTCGAAAACTAGAACCAATTTTAAAAAACGGGCTGCTGATTTGGATTCAAGCCCCGAATTTACCTTATAAACAGCTTTTGGTTGCTCAGGTCCAAAACGGTGTATACTTGTGTTACAATTACAAATTATATTCTTTAAAAAAGGAATTATATTAATTTAATTACAGTTACATGGAAAATGGATTTAGCAATTACTTTTCTAATTACTTTTATGATAAAGTAAATTATAGTGACCAAACAGAGAAAAAGGAAAAAGTTAAGTTAAAAATTTTAATTAAAAGTGTTGTGTAATATTGCGTTTTATTATTAATTAGAATTGATACTAAAATGAAAAGATTATTCTTATTCATTTTCTGATACAGAATTTTTATATTTTTATTCCTAATCTAATAATTTAAACTAGTACAGTTCATACTATAATTTTATATTATGGGTCAAGTAATTAATTCAACCCGATGCTCTTTTTTTTGGTTGTTAGTACATTTGCAAAATATAGAATACAGTAGTCTTGG